CTCCCTTCCTTGCTTCATCCACATCCAAGTTCCTTCTGCCAATCACAACTGCTGGCCCTAAAGAGGCAGCTCAGGAAGTGTGGGGAAGACTACCACCCCCATCAGGGCACTGAGGCAAAGGCCCACCTTGTGCCTTAGCCTCCCTTTTCCAGGTCTGGCTCCATTCAAATGAGGGAAAGTTATATGACTGGATTACAAGGCCTGCCTAACCCGCCACAGCCTCACACCGCCAGGACTCCCTGGGGAGGACAGGAGATAAGGACCAGACACCGTGGGGAGGCGGAGGCTGCCGCCTGACCAGCAGCTACTTAGCTCCATTAGGAAAGGAAACTGATAAAACAGAATCACCTCCGCTGGCCCAGAGTCTGGACATTAAGAGGCAGTTTATCAGAATCTGGAATAAAGCTGCCTGCGTTAGAATTTTAGCTCCACTACCGACTGTGTGGCTTGGACAAATTACTTAACTTCTCTCAGCCTCAATCTTCTCTGATGCAAAATTGAGATAATAAAAACAATGAAACCCCCCATTTTTGTAGGGTGAAAGCATCCCATACTCAATCTGCAATCTTTTTATCTATTTATTGCTGTGCTGGGGATGCTAAGTGAGTGCTCTGTCACTGAGCGACATCCCCAGCCCAATAATCTATAATCTTCTTAAAAAATTCTGGCAAAATACACATAATGTAAAATTTACCATCTTGACCATTTTAAATGTAGTTTAGTGGTATTAAGTGTATCGACAATGCTGTGCACCACCCCACCACCCCTCTCTGGAATTCTTTGCTTTCAAAACCCAGCTACCCTTTAAGCACCAGGTCTCCACCTCCCACTCCCCAGCCCCCATTGCCACCACCCTGCTTTCAGTCTTTGGGCTGTGACTGCTGGAGCCGTGTAACAGGTTAGTGGAATCACATGGGGTCTGTCTTTTGGTGAGGGACTCATTTCACTTTAGTTTAACATCTTAAAAGCTCATTTATGTTGTTGCATGTGTTAGAACCTCTTTCCTGTATAGGCCCAGGGATACTCCACTGCACAGGGACACCTTCACTGCTGACTGCTGGCTTCTGTGAGTAGTGCTGCCAGGGACACAGGTGATAATATCAGTTGTGCCCCTGCTTTCAGTTCTTCTGGATATACACCCATAAGTGGAACTGTGGAATCCTATGCTAATTCTACCTTTTTTTTTTTTTTTTTTTTCATACAGAAGAATGAACCCAAGGGCACTTAATTATTATGCCATATCTCCAGACCTTTTCATTGAGATGGGTTGTTTTTCTGCTCTTGAGGTAATCTATAACCTTTATTAGTTTAGTTTGGTACTGGGGTGATCTACCACAGAGCTACATACCCCTTTTATTTTATTTTTCAGACAGTCTTGCTAAGTTGCTTAGGATCTCCCTAAATTACTGAGGCTGGCCTTGAACTTATGATCCTCCTGCCTCTGCCTCCCAAGTCATTAGGATTATAGGCATGTGCATGGCACCTGGCAGAGGGAATCCATATCTTTATATCAATCCTGCAATATTGATATTTTCATGATTATTGTATAGATGAGAAAACTGAAGCTCAAAGAGGTTAACTGATTGATCCACTGTTGCCAATTGGGAAGCAACAAAGCCCACACAGGCAGGTCTAACCACAGAGTTATGTCCTTTCCATCCTGCATTCTTCTTACAGAACTTAGATATTATTACTGACAATGGCTGTATGGCCCTGAACGTGAAGTAGAGAAAGCATAACAGGTAAGGGTGAAATAAGAGGTAAGGGTTGAGAGAACATCAGTTTTGTTTTTGAGAATAGCATAAAAATATAGAACCATGATGACAAATTTTACACTGTATTCAACACTAGCTAGGATCTCTAATAATAGAATATGGTATTCAATTTTAAGTAGTATACAATTTAAGAGACATCTAAAGAATTGGAAAGTTCACAAGGATTTAAAAAAAAAAAACAGTTCAGTGTGTTCTAAAGCAAAAGCTCCTTTATGTGATAAAACTGAAGAGTTCCAATTGGTATAGAGAAAAACAAGTGAAGAATAGTCTTTCAAATAAACTGAACCTCATTTTAACCCTTAATAGTGAGATCCTTGAATGTGATCTAAAACAGAAGACCTTCATTCTGGAATGCGCATTGTAACAGGTTTCCAGTAAGGTTCTGAATGCATATCAGAGGTTGTTACCTAAAGAGTAGGCAACAGTCTTTCATTCTTTTATAGTAAATGGTTTTACAACACTGCAAGAAACAGGATAGAAAAATTAAGTAATTTATAAGGAAAGTTATTCTGATTTTGAAGATTTTTTAAATAAAATAATGATAAAAGATGATAAAATAAAATGAAATGTTAAACTTCATGGTATAAATTCTAAGTCTCAAGGGATTTAAAAAACATGGCAAGATACATGTAATTATATGAGTAAAGATTATTGGAGGAGATTAATTTAACTGGACTCTTATGACAGAAAGGATTTGCATATGTAGACAGGCATTCCAAATGCTAACACAATAAACAAAGGCAGAAATTTGAAATTTTACTCAGCTTCTTTTTTTCTTTCCTTTTCTCCCTCTCTCTCTCCCTCTCTCTCTCGCTGGGCAATCATCCTACCACTTAGCTACATCTCTAGCCCTCAGTCAGAATTTCTTAAGTCCCTGCTATGGACTGGGCCCTGTGCTGGGGTTTCAAACACACCCTGACTTCCAGGGAATGACACAGTCAGGCAACCCCCGAAGACCCCAGAATGTCAGGAATGCCATGAAAGAGGTGCTCCCAGAGTTCTGATGGAGCAGAGTCAAAACCGTCTAATTAGGACAGGGCTGGAGCAGGATGGGGCTGGACAGGAGAGAAGGAGGTAAGGACAATCAGAATCAGCATGCTGGGGAGTGAGAGGTGCCCAGACCCTGGAACTTTCACCTACTTAACCGAGCAGAGAACAGCAGGCTACACAACAGCGTGAGAATGCTACTTAGTTTCCAGATGCTAGCTGTCACATGCTTCCCAAAGCATACAGACACATCTTCAAACAGCAAGGTGACATATAAGGTATCTGGGCCCCTGCCCCAAAAGACAATCAGTTCTTGTCAAGCAACCCACTGAGAGAAGTCATATTTAATATTGTCTAAGGCATACAATTCATTGTCCTCAAAGTGATTGTTATCTTACCTGTGGATTGAATGGCCTACAAAGAGATTTAGACTACACTGGTTTTCCCACTTTACAAACTATAATCATTAAGGTGTACTACACAATATTTTACCTTCTTACAGATGATGCTGAGAAGTTGCCATATGCAATATGTTGCTCTGTTAGCTTGCTGAGGGTACTACTGTTTCATCTGAGGTACTCTAAATTTATGTAAAACATTTCCCTTGGACAAGAACTAGGAGAAAGCTTGATTTTCTCCCAGTATGTCTTTCTTTTTGATAGAGAACTTTTTCTCTATATTCCCATTTATCATGTTCTTGTCTGCCTGGCTGTCAGGAGACTCAGAACTAAATTTTACCTCAATTCCAGTAAAATTTTATGATCTTATATGTAAAGCAATTGAATTATTTTATTTTTTGGCCCTGAGCTTCCTTTTATATGTTACTATTTTATTACATGTGGTTTTGTATTTTAAAACCATGTGCTAAGAGATGAAAAGTATATGTTGTACCCATCTGAAGGAAACTGCCAGAAATGCCCAAACTGGCATCTTGGCATTCCCTAATCACACCGCAGTGGCATCAGGCTGACACTGTCCCACCTTTCGGCCCAGGAGAGACAGCTCTGAGCTCACCAGCAGCTGGAAGAATGAGTGAATGAATGATGGGAAGCAGTCTGACTGCATCTTCTGAAGACTGAAAGCAAAGGTAGAGAAACAAGCTCCCCTGGAGACGGCTAGCCACAAGTACAGCAGTGCTGTTAACCTGGGCGACAGCAGAAGCCAGCTGCTGAGGCGACAGATGACCTGGTCAGAGGGACCGACTGACAGAGTTGCCGTACAGCCAGGAGAGCTGCTAATTATCCCAAATAAAGTCGCAGGTTTTCATGAGGTCTGGCTCTCAGGCTTTTCCCCCCTGTGTTTACAGACAATAACTTCTCTTGACAGAGGTAAATTGAGGGTGTCTCTCTTCTTGATAATCAAAAGGCTATTGTGGACAGCTCAAATCCTCTGTGTAAAGAGGAGGGTAAGTATGTGTACACATGCACAATAGCGATTTATTTTGGAGAACAGTAAGCAAGGATGACTATATATAAAACAAAAGACTTAAGAGGAGTCCTGTTTCTTTTTCCTGTTTTGCACTGGAGGTTGAGGCCAGGGGCGCTTTGCCACTGACCTACATCCCTGGTTCCTTTTTATTTTTTATTTTGAGATAAGGTCTTATTAAGTTGCTCAAGCTGGTCTCAAACTTGCAATCCTCCTGCCTCAGCTTCCCAAGTCACTGGGAATCCAAGTGTGTGCCATCACACCTGGCAGAGGAGTCCATATTTCTAAGAAACAACTTTAGTTTCGAAAATTCCATTTCCAATATCTGGCTAAAAACTATGACCAGTTCATTACCTAATAATAATTGCAGCTCAGCCATCACAAGTTAAAAACTCTTGTCAAATCCCCAAATATCTTCATTTGTGCTTGTCACATGTCTTAATTTCCCTACGAAGCAAATATGAAGTGAATGGAAGGGAGAATTTTTCAGTATACCAGAAATAAAAAGTAGTGATTCTTGGACCTAACAGCAAGAAACTAGCAACAACACTAGAGCAATTTCCACCTGGATGACTTTCTTCTTCACTTCCTCCTATAACTGGGTTGATTTCCCAACTTACAGCCCATATCATGCTGGGGGCACGGGTTATGTTTTATTGATGTAGCTATGGGGGTAATTCACACATTCAAGCTGCTCCTCTCTGGAGTCAGATAACTTGATTACCCAGACTTAGGTTTCAAGAGCAGAGAGCCCCTTGATACCTACGGTGGTAATTGGAAATACCTACATGTTTGAAAGATGAGAACAGAAAAGAATAAGTGACTATTGTTTCAGTTTTACTAGCGATGCTCTTCAGTCTGAGAACTTGAAGGAGACTGAATCTCTTCTTTATAATTTGAAAGATTAAAGGATAAATATCAGTGCCGATCATGTCAACAGGGCAATATACACTTCAAGTCATCCTTCCCTAAGCCCTGCAATTAAACACCTACACTCCTTGGGCTCAGTGCAAACTCTACAGATCAGGTAGGCAGAGTTGTAAATATTTCCATGTGTAAAGCTTGCTTTTTCCAAAGGCAGGCATGGCTTAGCATGCCATTTTCTTTCTTCAGAATATTCAGGAAGAATTATGTCCTGAGGACACAAGGACGGTAAAGCAAAGGTATGTGGCTATAACAAGGATCCCATGAAACTAGCAGGAAGGTGTGTGAGTCACGGGATGCACAGCCCAGAGGATGCACTGATGACCTGGATTGAGACATATAAAGACTCACCAAGAGGGCAATGTAACCTGGGTTACTTGCATAGTTCAGGGCTACAAGATAGGACTGGCTCTTCCTTCACTCAAAATGAGCGGATATTATACAGGACCACACAACTCTGCTACAAGATGCGGCGGTAGGTACGAGTCCAACAATCCAGGTGCCAGGCATTTTTTTCCAGGAGGTGTGTGTGCTTCTGTAGTGTAAGTGTAATTTGAGAAAGCAGCCACTGCACAGCCTCCTCTCTTTATAACAAAGTAGTAATTGTTAACAATCGAAGATTCATCACTCTTCTCTTGGGATTTCGCCAGCTCAGCAAGAGACAATATCAATTTTCAGATGTTATCTTTCTCAGTAGCCTATTTCTTAATCCATTTTAGAAACAGAGTTCCTTGGTTTTCTTTAAGGCATACGAATCTCCTTTGGGTGGGTTCTTAGAAGTCCCCTCCCCACAAACTGAAAGCCAGGGTGTCTTCTCCCCAACTCACAACCAGGTAGTTCAGCTACACTGGAGATTTGTTGCCAGATCTAGAAATAGTTTACTAAATGAAATGAAGGAGGCCTCAGGACAGGAAAGCATGAAATGTCAATGGCTGGCAGCCAGGTGACTTTGCCATGTAGAAAGATCTACATCCTTCTTGTGTGGCTGCAGCCAGATCAAGGCTAGCAAACACACATTGTTAAAACATCACTTGTGTAACCAGACTATAATGAAGCGCTATGACAGTTGCTTAGAACTGGGTGACATTAACCTAATTCATACGTCTGTGTGTGTGTGTGTGTGTGTGTGTGTGTGTGTGTGTATATTTGCAAGTTCCTGGAAATGAAAATTAAAGATGTTCTTCCTATTGATGTTTGTTTTAATTATGTGCATGTTGGATGTGGTAGGGAGAAGTCGGTGTGGTTATAGGAAGAAAAGAGAAAGAAGCTCGGAAAGAAGTTGATTACACTCAAAAGTCCCAGAGAGGAGGTCACACTGCATGCCACATGGTCACTGGTCACAGGAAATCAGTGTTGGTCAAAAGACAGAAGACAGAGTGAGGGGAGGGTCTTGGCCAGAGTCTTCACTGGGTAATATAAGACATGGCAGGCAAACAGGTTAGGATGGGCTCATTGGAATAATTCCAGTGGGCTCTGGAATTCCAGGGTGGTCTCAAGCTGCCCAGCCATGGGATGACGAGGGCAGGAGAAACTTTGCCTGGTGTGGGAGAAATAAATAAAGAGGTGGCTGGGTGTACCAACTTGGGATTGGCTTGTTTCATATAAAGCCCGTGTTCATGGCCAGTTGTTAGTATCTCCAGGAATGAACTAGCTCTGTGTGGGGACAGCCCCTCCCCCGTTGGTAAATCATCAAGAATACAGTTCAGATAATGGGCATATATATGTAGTTTATAGAGCTGACATAATGCAGTAAGACAAATATAGATCCCGAGTAAACAGAACCAGGTCTGCATTAAATGCGACACTTGCCTGGGGCAGCACACAGGGTCTCAGACAGGCTTTAGTTCCTAATATCCTTCAGCACTGTGCCCTCCGTTCTCTGATACGGACAAGCCTTGTTTTCTCAGTATTCACGGCGGTTAGGCAAACACACTGCAAATCCTTTAATCTAACCCATCCACCTCCCTAAACCCATTTAAAAGAAGGTTCTAGGACTGTCATAACTGGCAAAGATACTCGTTTATGATTATGGCTGAAACGCATCTCTGTCATCTACACTGTGTTCAGGACAAAAAGCAAGCATGCCTCAGGTGATAGGCTGTGGCCTCTTGGGGTCTGCCTCCTCACTCTGTAAGCCACCTAACTCCCCTGCCCCAGGAGAGATAGCCCATTGCTATCTGCCACACGCCAGGGTCATGGGCCTGCTGTGGGGGCCTCCCAGTAGTGACTCTGGGCCATGGGAGGCTGGCTTCTGGGGTGCCCTGGCCTCTGCTCTGCCCTGTGCACCCACGTGCTGTGGCTTGTTGTCTCCCCATCTCAGCCAATCCAAGGCCCAGCCTCAGCAGCACAGCTATGCACAGCGCAGGCTCAGAGGGCTGTGCTCGCTACCGAGGTATCCAAGTTGAGAGAGAGGCTCTTTCCCCAGGCTTCTTTGCAAAGATCCTACATTGCCAGGTACTGTTCAGGGTGGACTGTAAGAGATATTCATGAGAGAGGTTCAAGAAAAGAGATATTAAACTGTGGCTGGTCCAAGTCTCACAGCATTGGAAGCAGATGGACATGAGTACTTCTTGGCAGGCCATCAGTTTGGTTTGGAGCTTGATGTCACATTCATTCTTCTGGCTGCCAGTCTCCTGAAGGAAATATTGACCTTCTCACTTTAGTTTTCTATATCTTGAGTTGTTCATCATCGGACAGGCTGCTAAGTATCAGTATTAAAGGACCACTGGCTAAGTATCACTATAGGCTATCTTCAGTTTCTCTGGTACCTTCTGGTAGCTAACCAAGCCATGGATTTGGCGTTCCCGTCTCTCTTCTCATTCCTTTCTGGAAAGAGTTTAGATGGGCTGGGGAAAGATATTTGAAGTTTTCTGATCCAATGTAAATGAACCCTGTGGTGGGTAAATAATTTTCCTCTTTCCTTTGCTCTCCTGGGGTATTTTAATGAATAATGCTTCTCAAATAAGTATATAAATATTCCCCAAGAGATAAGGAGAATATTAAGCTCAAAGCATGTGTGCCATTAATATTTTGTGTGTAGGGGAGTGCAAAGAGCAGAGGAATCATCAGAGCCTTGAGTTTTCATAGAATTTTCTGGAAAGTTTTGAAGCCCACAGCTGGAAAGAAAATACTGAGGGCAGCATTAGTGAAGTGTGGATACAGCTTCACAAGATCAAGTTTGACAACTCCTTCAATGTATGAGTTTTTTTTGGATGGGTGTAGGATGGGGCTTACAGTTTGTTTTGCTGCCAATTACAGCATATGTTATTTAAAATAACTCAGCAAAAAGCATAATTTATCAACCTCACCAAGACGTTAAAGAAAATTTTTTGTTCTCTCCTATCTCCCATTATCTGAAAGGCCAGTTCACAACTACCTAACTTTAGTCTCAAAGCCTTCTTTAATAAATATCCATTCTCTATCGAGACGATTGCAACTTGATCTTCAAAAGATCATGTTTCCCAATGTATTCAGTTACATCATTTTACCTGTGATAACTAGAGTATGGCTTTAGTTTCTTTCTTTAACTCAAAGACCCCATGTTAAAAAAAAAAACAATCTCTAGTGATAGTAGAGAAATTTCTTACTGCCAGAGCGCCACCTACTGGTACATCATTATAGGAGCAAGCTATTTGTATCTAAACTTTGACCTATGGTTTTGGAGAGTTCTGAGCTTTGGTTTTATTAAGTCCCAACTTCACTGTCATTTTTCTTCTTTTGGAGGTGCGGGGGATGGAACCCAGGGCATCATACGTACTAAGCGCATGCTCTACCAGTGAGCTACATCACCATCTTCGTCACTGTCACTTTGAGAAGCTAACACTTCTTTTGACAGCTGCTGAGTCTCTTCCATAAAGTCAGAACGTGATAATGATTAAAATACACTGTTATTCTTACTATTACCTTAAATTGGCCCTGACTTCACCGACTTTGTTTTTCTCTGTCCTATACCTGTAGCAAGGGCTCCAGATTGTGTGGGCAAGGGTTTGGATCTGGCGAAAATAACTTGGGGAGCTTCCAAAGATCCTGAAAAAATGGAAAAAAAAAATCCCTACTTAACAGTATATTTGATCTTGGCCCAAAGGACAAGAAGTAAAATCTAAAAGTAGGTTATGGGGATCATCATTCTCACAGATGCTGCCACCCCACTTCCTGCCAAACACCAGAGCTGTGGTCTCTCTTTTGCTTTCTAACAGCACAAGTGGGTCATCGACCCAAATTCCTGGGCCCTGGCCCTGGGGAGTGAGGAACATTTAGGGAGCAATAAAGGACACAGGATGTAGGCTAGTCATTGCAGGGTTTTTAAAAAAATTTTTAAAATTTTAACCTCTTATACTCAGATCCACTAGCTGCTCCACCAACTCTATAATATATAGTGAAAAGAGTAAGAATCTGATAATAAAAATATGTCATTCTAATGAGAGCTGCCGGGCACATAATTTCACTTGAAAGTTAAAGTAACTTCTAGATCCTTCAGGCTTAAGCTTTGCTGGCTTTGCTTTATATTGTATATTAAAGTAAGTTCCTTTCTCTTGTTGCCTCAGGGGACAATGGGGAAGTGGGCAGGCAGGCTCGCTAGGTGCCGCTGCCCTGCGTCCACACAAAGAGCACAAAGCTATGGCACATTTAGGGCTCGAAACAATGAACATTTAATAAGACGCTGCTTCTTACTTCTCGTCAATGAAATCCATCACTGATTTTCAAGAGCCTATTAGGTTCCTTGCACAAAATACTGACCAATAAGAGCTTAAAAATAAGAGGTGGGGGCACAGTCCAGGATGGGAGGGACCTCCGCAGGCAGAAGCTAAGGGACAGGGATGAGGGCAGCTGGTCTGGCTTCGGACCCTACAATAATGGTGGTTGACATTATCAAATCAGCATGAGAGAAATGTCAGTTATCTAATCTGTGGCTGTCTTCTATTTTTGTTCACTATTAGCACTTCAGAACTCCAGAAGATTGCCATGGTTATAAAGAAGGAAAGCCAAGGACTTGGCTTTGGGCCAAGAGCCCTCACTCCAGCTTCCTTCTCAAATTTCTAAATTTGCTGACTTTACCCCTTCCCTTCCACAGCAAAATTAGAATATTTAGTGGAAGGTAAGGAAGTCAAGGAAAAGTAACCTGCACGGAGTATTCCAGGCACTCTGCTGGGCGCATCCACATTCACTACCTCATTTAATGTTTGCAATAAACAGAACGTAAAGAGCCCACGTCAGTTGGGAGTTGTTTTTCAATAGTGCCTGGGATGAGCTACTGCCTTATTCAGATAGCCTGAGGAACCAGTCACACATCAAGCCTGGCTAGCCATATGGAGGGGAAGGGTCAAGCGCCAGGAAACAAAACCTGCTATAGCCATGGGCTTGTTAGCACCATGCCTAACCAACTGAGTCTACTGGATGAGACTGGGGCTAACTATCTTTTGAAGACAGTTCAGGGATTCCTGTACAGGTACAGACTTCCAAAGTCCCTTCCTGTCTTCTCATGGGGGCTGTTCTCCCTTCTTCTAAGTTTAAAGAAAAATGTAGCTACTGGTAACCTAGACTTCTCATAGGCCACCTTTGGAACCTCTAGAATAGTTGGTGAAATCTAACCAAACCACAGAAGACACAGGATCTGCAACTGGACAATAATGTGCCGGTTACTTGCTAATGGTATGAATGACCACACCAGAGTTAGTCACTGACACTGTGAAGGCTAGATGCCGTGGGAGGTATGGGAAACACCTGACCCTCACTGTGTCATGATCATTAGTGCTTCTTTTAACACTTCTTGGTCAAGAACACCAGGGAAGTCAAAGAAGAGAACAAATCCAAGGGCATTTAGAGGCCCAGAGTCATCAGCTGACAAAAGCAATCAGTAACAGGTACCCTAAACAAGGTAAGAAGAATAATCTGCTTGTTACTGTCAGGTGGATAGGGGCAAAGGTCAATCTTAGAGGCCAGGGAGAAGTATGACTTCTCTTTGCTCCACGGTTTTACGCTAATACCAAATTCGGTAGACTAGGCCAGAGGTAAGGTCACCAAGGTTAAGTAGACCTAATTTATGGTCAAGATGTTGCAAGCCTGACTCACATGACCTCTCACATTTCTAACTTCCTGGGCCAGAGGGCACGCAGTGGTTCAGCTCAATTCTTGTCAACTAAACGGCGTACACATCAAGTTCTCCGGGTCTCCTGGAGCTGCCAAGCACAGTCAATTTCTCTAGTTTAAGCAAATTTGGAGAGCGGAAGGGGCTCTTAGAGCCTTTGTCTCAGGAACACCTTCAAACTCGCCCATGATTCTCATAGCCAGCACTTTTCTTCCATTTCAATTCCTGGTGGAAATTTTAATTCCTTAAAAACGAGTGCTGTGTTCTAAAGGCTGGAGATGAAACTGAGGGGTAGAGCGCTTGCCTAGCAGACACGAGGCCTGGGTTCTACCCTAGCACCACAAAAACCAATCAACCAACAAATAACAACAAAACCCCACTACCATGTTCTAGCAATTCTTTGGAGAGGGTCATGAGTACATACCTATCAAATATTTCTTATATTCAGGTTTAAAATTTTAAAGGGAGAACAAATCCTTATACTCTTATCATCATATTAATATTACCTGACCTGGGTGTAGGTATAGGGCCTTCCATGTATAGCACTTCATTTAATCCTCACAATAAGCCTAGGAGGGTTATTTAATTATCCCTATGATACAGCCAAGCAGCCGAGCTTCTCAGAGATGTTGTGGTCACTTTAAGGTGCGTTATGTCAACCCCTCACTCACACTCCCCAGCCCCTCCCTGAACTCCTCCAGGGGTCCTCATCGCTGCCAGGGCAACAGCTCCGTACTTGGCTCCTAACAGACTCTGCCACTTCATAGCCTTCTCTTGCCACCGCCAACTCATGCCTGCGTCCCTAGCCACGCTGACAGGAGGGAACCCTGGGCCTCTGCACACACTTCCGCCTCTTCTTGGATCTCCATTCCTCTCCTGGCTGAGTTGTCCACGTTCAAGTCTCCCAAAAGATGTGGGTCCCAATACTGCCCAGCCACTAAAGTTATTAGTGTAACTTGAGACATATTTCATCCCTTTAGACATATTCTGTCCCTTTGTTTCTTTGGTCATAAGTGGGGAATACAGTTCCTACATCACATCCCTGTTCAGTGAACAAATGACTTAAGACCTGTAAAGCATTCCCAGCTGAGCTGGACACACGGCAAACGCTCAAAGTTGTCTGTTATTCCATATGTCCCTAGTACCCATAAAGACCCAGGAGGTTACCTGCAGCACACTCCCTGAGGACGTTTCTGTCTCTCTGAGTCTGTGGTTCCCAGAGTGGACACTGTACCCTATACCCTGTGAGTACCTCAGGGCCCAGCAAGTTACCTTCTCCATAGTAGGAGCTCAATAATCAATAGTCATCAAATTGAATCAAAGTGATTTCATTCAATTTTCTGATTATTTAGTGTGTTTTTTATGAATTATTGTTCATACAACACTAACCCTGGGCCTCCACTGCTTAGCTTACACCTAGGCTCTGGATCCACGCGTAACCTCCCTCAAGTCCACAAACTCTCTGAGCCTCAGGTTTCCCATGTTCAGGGGACAAGAAGGTCCACCTCATGGACTGTTGTGAGGATTAAGTGAGAGACATATGTGGAAACATTAACAGTCAAATACAGGGCGTTTTTACTAAATGCTGCAAATCTGATAGCATTCTACCAGACAGGCAAAAAATGTCTATCTAGGCTGTTGCATTATTTAAAAGGAGGACGTAACAAAAATGCTTGTCCCAGTGCTCGCAGAGCCTGGGCATTTGGTTATTTGAAACTGGAACTCCGGTCAGAAGCAAAAGAGAGAAGATGCCAAGCTGCCACCTTCCTGCCACCTTCCTGCCACCCCACCTACTGAAGGCCTGCTGGTCACTGACCTGTGGAGCTGGTGATGGGCATAAAGGCTGCAGAGTTAAGGCTGCTCTGGAGTCCGTTCAGCTGCCCTTCTGCGGAGGCCCCTCTGAAACACAAAGGAGCTGGGTCAGACCTGCGGACTGGAAGGCGAGGCCCAGTCCAACCAACTCAGGGCTCTGCCTCTTGCTCGTGGTGTTTCCTCTCACGCAGTTCATTCCTGGGCTTCTTTCAAGACTGTGTTCAAATGTCATCTGATCAGAGAGGACGTCTGTGACCCAGGGATACCCTTTTCCTGAACTCTTACACAAGTCAAGCTTTAGTGTCCATTTCTCCCCACTGGAATGTAGCTTTAAGAAAGCACAAGTGTGGGTCACTGCTGCGTCTCCAGGGTCTGCCACATGAGAGCTACTTGATAAATGGTTGTTTGGTGAGTGAAAACGTTAAGTTCCTGGTGTTGACTTAGATAAATCAAAAGACGACACGTTTTACAGACACTGTATTTCATGTGGAACGGTGGAACTCACCGTCATTGCACCCACCATGGTCGTGTGGCACTGTCAAGATATCTGTGGTCCTCCCTCCCAGCAGCTAGCGAGAAGAGGCCAGGAATGCTACCAAGCATCTTGCAGGACACAGGAAAGCACCCAAGCAAAAAATTACCTGGTCCAAAATGTCAACTGTGCTGAGGATGACAAACCATCACACAGCACCTCTGCTCACACCAACTCTGACAGGAAGCTGGACAGAGCGTCACTGGTTCTCTGTGCAGAGGGCCCTCAGTTACATGTCTCAGAAATGCCCTACAACCATGGCCAATCTCCTTGAGGCTCTTACAGGTCTCTGGAACTCTTTCACTGCAGTTATCAGAATTATAATTGTGAAATCATGTACAGCATGGCTCATATCTGTCATCAATGCCAGAATGTGAGCACCATAAAGACACGGATCGTATTAGCACTTCTGTATCTGCAGGTCTCTAATGCGGCATTTTATGCCATATCAGATACATGTTTTTGGAAGGAATTTGACCCACTGTGCTCATAAATACATTTATTTGATGGGCCCATCTGCCTTGATTTTTTTAGTTGATATGTTCAAGTTTTACTTGGAAGATTAATAAAAAAATCACTCATTTTTTTTTTGTAGTTGTTTTTTTGGCACTGGGGATTGAACCCCTGTGCCACATCCTCAGTACCCCCCTTTTCACAAAATTTATTTATTTACTCTAACTTTTTATACACGACAGCAGAATGCACTTCAATCCATAATGTACATATCGAGCACAATTTTTCACATCTCTGGTTGTTTACAAAGTACAGTCACGCCATTCGTGTCTTCATACATGTACCTAGGGTAATGATGTCCATCCCATTCCACCATCTTTCCTCCCCCTATACTCCCTTCCTTCCCCTCCCTCCCCTTTGCCCTATCTAAAGTTCCTCCATTCCTCCCATGCTTCCTCCCTACCCCCATGATGGATCAGCATCCAATATCAGAGAAAACATTTAGCTTTGTTTTTTTTTTTGAATTGATTTACATCATTTAGCATTATCTTCTCCAACTCCATCCATTTATCTGCAAATGCCATGATTTTATTCTCTTTTAATGCTGAGTAATGTTCCATTGTGTATATATATCAAGGTTTCCCTATCCATTCATCTACTGAAGAGCATCTAGGTTGGTTCTACAATTTAGCTATTGTGAATTGTGCTGCTATAAACATTGATGTGGCTGGGTCTCTGTAGTATGCCCAGCCCTTTATTTTATATATATATATATATATATATATTTATATATATATATATATTTTTTTAATTTAGAGACAGAGTCTTGCTGAGTTGTTAGAGCCTCGCTGAGTTGTTAGAGCCTCGCTAAGTTGCTGAGGCTGGCTTTTAACTCAATGATCCTCCTGTCTCAGCCTCCCAAGCTACTGGGATCACAGAGCCCAGCTCTCTGTTTTTGTTGAAGCAACACTCAATCTAATCCTTCCTCTTCCAACATCATTTTCCACTCATTCATTCACATAAAAAATACCCAGTATTCCCTGGACACAGACCATGAGACAAATGCTAAGGAAAAAACGCACGAGCGGTGGGAGAGGATGAACCAGGAGTGTGATTTGGCTAGTGAGGGGACAAGGGTGGCCTTTCTGAGGAAATCATTCTTCAGTAGAGTCGAGATATTACGAGAAGGCACCAGCCCAGAACAGGGGGCAGGGCAGAGCTTCTCACGAAATTACATCAGGATTCTGAGCCAGCAAGGGCCTAGAATGTCCCGGAACCAGCCGCAGGTGTGCGTGTGTGGGTGGGGCTAGGCAGGCAGCTTTTGCCAAAACTTCCTCAACAGAAATCACCTCAGTTACTTGCTTCCAGGCTCTTCCTGTGGAGACACTGACTAGTGGGTCTGGGAGTGGGTCTGAGAACTTGGCTTTTTACAGCACCACAGATGATTCCCATCTCCAGCAAAGCTGGGGGGCGGGGGGCAGGGGGCGGTGTACCAGTGAATAGGTGAGAAGAGGCAAGAGTGGGGCGATGGAGAGGTGGGCAGAGTTTTAGGTGCCCAGTGGTCCCTACACCCCTGAAAGAGAGCACCCCTCGAGGCCCATTGGAAATGAGGATCATGCTGGCTTGTGGCCTTCCCTTTCCTGGGCCAGCTGCAATCTGGGGCCCAGGCGCGCCACCCCCACACTCTCCCTTTGAGGACAGAGAAACTGTGGAGGGAGAAGAGAAAGGAGCAGAGGGCTTCTGCCTTCTCCCCCAAGCCTCCCCCAGGACAGCCACATCTGAAAGGCTTACGCGTTTTATTTTAGCCCCATATGGGCCCATGAGCCCAAAGTACCTGCTGACCGACATTTACTTCCAGGTCCCAGAGAAAAAGGGAAAGTCCTGAGGGCCTAGGATGGGCTCCTTCCCTTGTGGAAGTTCAAGTCCCTCAGGGCTGCTGTGCTCTGGGGGAAAGCCCTGCATGTTAGCAGGAAAAGAGAAGCAGGAAGGCACACTCCTTGGCTCCATGGTGAATGGGCAGCTGCCTGAGGAGAGGTGACTCCAGGGTCCCCAAACTCTCTAGCCCTCTCCTCCTCTCTGCAACTCCAACCCAGCCCTCACCCTCGCAGGCTTCATCTCACCTAAGATCTCCTGGCCCTAGGCCCTGGGCCCAGGTTGGCTCCCTCTTCCATCCTCTTTCCTCCCATCAACTCCCCCCAAGCCCTGAGAAGTGCTGAGTTGCAAGTTGAATCTAATGGTTCTATTGTTTCTTTCTTATTCTGGGGATTGGACCCAGGGGTGCTTTACCCTGAGCTACCTCCCCTGCACCCGCCTCCTTCTTTTTGAAATAGGGTCTCACTAAGCTGCCCAGGCTGGCCTTGAACTTGGGATCCTCTATCTCAGCCTCCTGAAGGATCTGGGACTACAGGGTGAGCCAATGTGTCTGGCTTTATTCTATTGCTTCAAACAGGAGAATCCCCCTTTGGTGGAGTAATGTGTCCATGGCAATATGAAGGGAAGTTCTTGAGTGAATTTTCCCTGGCAACACTGGTGTACAAGATGGTTCAGGTCTGTTGTTACTCCCTCAGGCACACTACCAGAAAGATGCTTTTGTTATATTAATATCATTTCCTTGGGAAAATGCACTCCAACTTCTGGACAATCCACTCCTATATGAGAACTTCTGAAGCAGGTTTGTTTGAGCTGCTCTATTACTTTGTCTGTGTCTCTGCACCTGGGAACACCTGAATTTCAGAACATATTTACACCGGAAGGATGGATCTATATCCTGGATTGTCTTTTGGTCTGTTACTGTGTAATAATAGCATAACAGGACTACTTCAAAGGGTTCTAGAAGATCAAGATGGTGAACGTAAAACACATCCTAGCACAATGACGGGTGTCAGAGTACGGACTAAACAAACACTATTACTTGTGCTGCCATTTTTACTTAGGAATATCAACAGCACTCTATAGTCATGATAAGCCTCTCCATACAGAAATATCAAACTGGATGACTCACTGACTCCAATGTATGAAATATTCGTGCTAAACTGTAGGGGAATGACCACATTCCAGAACCTGGAAATTAACAGCAATTTGCTATTAAAATCAACCTATAAGACAGAAAGCTCATGGTCAAAATTACTCTTAATATCCCATAGGAAGAAAGGCCTCATTTGATTGACAGACTCTCTCTTAATAAATCTAATATGTACATTTTTTTCCCCTGCTAGCAAGAGAATGAATCACTGATCCACTGGGCACTAAATGAAATTGGAGTCTGGTCTTGAGGGGCTGTGCTGATAAGACATTTATCTTTACACGTGAGGACGGCAGTACAGAAAGGCGGATGGGAACTGACTGGAGGAACAGCGCATGTCCGTCTTCAGCTGTGTGGAATATGGGATGGCGCCAGCCACTGTACTGAGATTATAATTGTCCTTCTCTTAGTAGCTGCTGTGCAAAGCTGAATGAGAATTTGATGCAGCGGTACTCATTACCTGATGTGATCCCAGGACACGTGGAATATGAAGAAGGGGCCAAAGGTGAACTCAGAAAAACTGGAGTTATAAAAGTATTAAGAGTTTTACAGGCAGAGACGCTGAGAAGACAGGACGGGAACAGTGCTATTAACTTTAAATCATACCCGGGAAGGGCAGTAAGACGTGAGCACCTAGCCTTTAAGTGCTCTTCTCAGCAATGGAGCAGGTGTCTTGGAGATGGAAAAGTGTTAGATGCAGTCAAAGGTTGAGAGCTATGTGCTCACTGAACCCCGGTGATGGTAATGGACCTAATTCAGGTCCTTCTCTGCCCATAATTTTTAAAAAATATTTTTTAGTTGTTAATGGACCTTTATTTATTTATTTATTTATATGTGGTGTTGAGAATCAAGCCCAGGGCCTAACACATGCTAGGCAAGTGCTCTACCAGTGAGCCCCAGCCCCAGCCCCTCTGCTCATGATTTCTAAAAACCGCTTAAGAGCAAGCTGCCCGATTCACTGAGCCACCTAAGAACTATACTAGTAACGTGTCCGTGTGTCACAGCAACAAAGAATTAGGAAAATCTCCTTTACTACTGACACATGCCTTTCAACTAAGGTACACCTTTCTTTGCTCACAG